AAAACGATAATGTCGGTAAATCATACGGCTGCAGGATCCCCTTAAGCCAATGAAACTGCTACTTTTCTGTAAGAGCTGCAAGTTTATTGGCTTAAATCGAAACTTGGACACAGTTCTTGCATCGTGGACACCGGGCTTAAGTAACGCACAAGCTTTGGCGTATCCTGATTCGTCAGGTCGAGGACTATGACCTAGTTTACATCGATCACTTGATACGCGTATTAAATAGTAAATAACTAGTAAATAAGTCTGATTATTGGCTGATCAGTTCAAATATACTATTTGATACGCGTATCAAGAGATCGGTGTAAACTAGGTCAATGACTGTCGTATATCGCTACGCCATGATATGTGCTTCGGCTCTAAATTTTCCCAAACAATTCCCAAACAAAAAAAATGTAAAATATCTAATTTGCGTGTCTGCTAAATATACGAAATATACGAACGTGCGCAAATGGACGAGTTCGACTAAAGTCACTAGATAGATATCTAGTGACTTCAGATTTCACTTGAATAAAATTTAAAACGCGGGCAACCGGACACCGGACATATACATACCTCACATTCCGCACGTATCTGCTGTGATGTGAAGCTGTGATCTGCCTGGTATCTGGTATCTGCTGACCGCTACTGCGCACTGAGTTTAGTTGAATTCTCTGGTATTTATGTGTGCATACATATTCACACATTTTTATCAGATTCCAATTTCCAATCGAAGACGGACGAGAGCATTGAAGAGAACAAGAACGGGGAGAAAACAAATGCACTACCATTTGTCCTTTATAATTGTAATTTATCTTGTGATTTGTCTGTGATCCATATTCTGTGTTAATATTTCGAGGTTTCTAACTTCTCATCTATTCTCATCTAAATACTGTAAAGAACAAAGAATTTAAGATGTGCCAAAATAACCACAAAAGACTACAAAAAACTTGGTTGACGGGATTAAACTCTGCAAAAAAAAAAAATCATCTATTACTGTTCACGTGTATCGTATTACTGTAATCTTAAAGATAATGTTAAGATCTCAACAGATGCAGAACTTGCCTTTCCTTATTTAAGAAAAATAGTGTTAACTTAAATTTGTTTCAAAAATTATTCTGCATAATATAATGATTAAAGAAGCGTTTAAGTCAAGATGTGAATATGCCACATAATTCCTTAGAGTTGTAAGCACAACAAAAAATACTCTGGTCTTACCACCATGAAAAATAAAATTAATTAAAACAATGATAAAATTGGCACTTTGTAATAAATTTCGTTTGAGTATCAACAATTATATATATATATATCGTAGACTTTACAAAAGTTTTTAAAAGTGTACAACATAATTGATAAGAATTTATAAGCTTGTATTGATAAATGCTTTATGAGTTTTCAATGGTATACAATATTAAACAGGTCCGATAGATTGCAACAATGGATGACAGTTTGGTGAACCGTATTCTGAATATGTACAAATCACCTGAGTCCTTCAGCATAGATATGCCAGCTCCTACTATTCGGAAGGTGAAAAAAAACTCATTTATGTTTGATGAAGAACTAGGTCCTCATGCTGGCAAAAAAACCAGGGAATCAGAAACGAACTACGTAAAGGAATATGTACAAAAAGATGAGGAAGAATACATTAAGGTGATTAGCATTAAGATATGTGATATGATATTGCAGTCTGTATTTTGTTCGTCTTATTTATATCTTTCCTGCCGTTCCTTGCAGTTGAAAAGTAGTATGCTTCTTAAAAATAATGATCATATGGACAATGTTTCGGAGGTGTCTGGAGACACAGCAATTCTCAAGCAAAATACTGTTCAGCTTTATCGATCGTACAACTTTGCCTATCGGCCCAACACTAATTTACCTATTTTCTCTGTGAGACACAAGGTTGTATCCATGATCGCCAGCAATTCTGTTGTTATCATTCGCGGTTCTACAGGCTGTGGGAAAACAACACAAGTGCCACAACTTATTCTTGACGCTGAGTTTGAAAAGAAGCAACACTGTAACATCATAGGTATCTCATCGGATTTAGAGTGCATTCTCCGAAGCATCCAGCAAAATATTACTTAAATTTTATCGGTATTTTATGTGATGTGATACAAGAATGTTTGTATCTTGCAGTAACGCAGCCGAGACGCATTGCCGCTCTGAGCATCGCGAAACGAGTCAGCGCGGAAAGAGAATGGCCCGTTGGTACACTTGTGGGATATGAAATGGGCTTGATCAAGAATGTAAGCCGCGACACTCGCATAACGTATTGCACGACTGGCGTGCTCTTAAACAGGCTCGCGAATAAGAAGCACATGATGGACTACACTCATGTCATATTGGACGAGGTGCACGAACGCGACGAAGACATGGATTTTCTTTTGCTCGTAGTGAGAAAGTTATTACGTACAAATTCTACGACGGTCAAAGTTATACTGATGTCCGCGACAATCGACGTGGACAAATTTTCTGCGTATTTCTCAACGCCTGTAGGAAATCGACTTGCATCCGCGCCGATCATCGATATACCCAAGGGCAGCCCTTACGATATTTCTATATATTACATAGACGAGATGGAGAATTTGGGTAACGTGAGTATACATTTTTTTTACACGACTAAAACACGATTGAAGAGAGATCGTTTCTAAAAACCAGATACGATCGTTATCTGCTTCAGAGATGGAGGAAAAAGAAAATTAGCAAATTTTCTAGTGTTGGTAGAACAGATGTCAACAGGATTCTTTATTCTTAAGTTAGAAGTTGTCATTGCAAACATTTCCAAACGTTAACACATCAACGTAAAAATAAATTTTTACTAATATTTTAAAAATGGATCAAAAATGTTGTCTTCTACATAACACGCAATAAGAATATGGATAATAAATAATTTCCTTTTCTTTTTTTTCCATTTCTGCGATTAATAGAGAAGCAATCATGGAAAGTATATTGTGTTTTTCAACAGATCCCTCAAGTAGACGAGGAACCAAAATTCACGACTGGGATGGCGGAGTTTGCCGCACGTATTATACGTGTTTTCGATAGTATTGACAAAAAGAATGATAGTGATGAATACGAAAGGGCCACTGTGCTAGTGTTTTTACCGGGATTTGGCGAAATTGAAGAGTTACGTACTGCATTTCTGTCATCAAAACACGAAGATGCAAATTGGGATATAATTATTTTACATTCGTTAATCTCGACCGAAGAGCAGGAAAATATATTTAAGAAGCCACCCAAAAATTTCCGACGTATCATACTATCGACGAACATCGCTGAAAGCAGCATTACTGTGCCCAATGTTAAATACGGTATGTTGGACAGGTCAATTGAGACTGAATAATATTTGTCCGTCGGACTAATTATATCTATGAATTGATTGAACTACCTACAGGTATATAATTCTCACTTGTTTTTTAGTGATTGATTTTTGCTTGACAAAACTTCTTGTCACTGAGCCTGGAACTAATTATCAATGCTTGCAACTTTGTTGGGCAAGCAAATCAAATTGTCAACAACGTGCCGGTCGTACAGGCCGCGTGATGGATGGTAGGGTATACAGAATGGTGCCAAGAGCATTTTACGAGGTGAATATAGATTTTACACCGAAATCAATTGACCTTGATCTTTCGCAGAACCTGTAAATCACATTATCTTGAAAATTGCAGAATGTCCTACAGGAAGAATCTCTTCCGGAGATGCTCAGGGCTCCGCTCGCAAATGTAATTCTTAAGACGAAAGTGCTGGAAATGGGCGAGCCGAAAGCTCTCCTTGCTCTTTCTCTGGATCCACCTAATCTCAGCAATATACAGGAGACCATATTACTATTGAAGGAAGTTGGCGCATTACTTAATAAGGGCACGCAAGAATTTGATGGGGACTTGACGCCCTTGGGTCGTGTAATGGCCAGTCTCCCGTTAGACGTACGCGTGACGAAGTTGATTGTCCTGGGCCATCTTTTCGGTGTTCTGTCAGACACGATTATTCTCGCGGCTAGCATGGCTGTTAAGGATATGTTCAATATCGGATTTTTTGAATTGGAGTCGACCTATCACGAGAAACTGCATTGGGCCGCTAATTCCGAAAGCGATAGCATAGCATACTTGAACGCCTTTAAAGTGTGGCGAAACGATAAGGCAAGTCGCCGTATAAACAGTCCTAACGAGGAAAGAGAATGGGCGCGACGGAAGAGCCTTCGCGTGAGATCGCTACGCGAGATCGACGCCTTTATATACGAAATAACACAAAAGCTGCGCAATTTCGGCATAACAGAAACGATGGGTTCCGAGAAAAATACTTGGGAGAGCCTCTGTATCGATCGTACTTTTGTACTTAAATTTATAATCGCCGGTGCATTTTATCCTAATTATTTTATCAAATTCCCACATAACATAAATGATCGCAAGCGGGATATAGAGAGGACATTGGGTTACCGCGATCCGACGAATACGGTTGTCTTACACGGCTGGCCGTTGGAACACCCCGGATCACTGTACTCTAAGAGATTTCAGGAGATCTTTGGACAGCATATGGGGCTCAAAAATCAGGAGAACATAACTGTGTCCTTTGACGGGTCGAACCGCGTTTATATCGAATATGAGCCGAAGAATCGCGCACCGGACGATTACACTTTCGTTCGAGATTGTGTCAAGATGAGGCATTGTCGGAACCAGATCGAAGTAAAGTTATTAAGCGAGACGGATGCTCGTCACCGAGCCGAGGAACTTGGGCTCACGAAGGAATACGGAACATTTCTGTCTCAACCTTCCAATCCGGAGGAACCGCCGTGCAGACGATACATGTACGACAAAAAGCCATATCCAGATTTACCGGAAGATTCCGAATATCGATCTAAGGTAAAATTGCAAGGTCCCTTCTCGCCGGTAGAAGTTCGCCTGACCCATATGGTGACAAAAGGAATGGCAAAAGTGATATCTCTGGAATCCACATCGGTAAACTCCGTTCTACTCGACACCTGCCCGGATAGTCCGAAAGGACTTTTCCTGGTGGCGCAAAATATCTCACGAGACTCCAAGAACATGTCGCACCTGATTCTACGAAACACAACCCTCTTGCCCACTACGCCTGGTCTCGCGTCGCTCGTCACTTTAATTTTTACACCGTACATGGAACTGCGACGTAGTCCGATGGGCACTTATTACACAGGCGCTCTGTGTGGATTGGGCTACAATCGCATTACGGAACAGAGCTTGTTTCCGGACCACGATCTGGAAATTATATTTGACGTCGAGATCACGATGAACGATTTGCGAATGGTACGTCTAATATTCAAAATTTTTACATTTATGATACACTCAGATATATTCAATTTGGAATTTTCTTTTGTTTGCAATATACATGAATTGTAAACCTTCTGTTGGCAGATTAACAAGCTTCGCCATTGGATGAATGTTGCGATGCACTTCAATAATAGATCTGAAATTTTAGACGACGAGGCTCATCATGATATGACTATAAATTGTCAGAATCAAATTAAAAATGCGTTCAAAGATGTGATATACAAGACTCGTAAGAAGATAGAACCAGTTCCAGTCAGTAATTTTAACAAGTGGAACCGATACGACGAGACTCTATTTCTCGTGCCTGCTCGGGAAACTTCGAGGAAAAGTAACGTATACGGTTTACACAAAGCGTTGGAATTGAATGAGAAGAACGATAGACTCGAAGAAATAATCAAGCATTTGTTGGAATTAGAGGCTTTAGCTCATCAGTAAGTACATTATTACGTCTTTACTTTAATCATCTAGCAAATTAGCAAAATTATAAAATCATATTTTTAAAAATAAAACGTTTTTCTTATGTTATGTACTTATTAGAAAACACTTTAGGCTGTTCCGATATTCACTGCCAGTACTGAAAATCTATAGTGTACGTAACGTAAACTATAGATTTTCAGTACTTGCAGTGAATATCGGAATGCAGTCTTAGAATCAAATACAATGTTGCGTTATTAACAATGCATTCAAAAATTCTTTCGCACAAACTTCGAAACGTTTAATAATCAATTTTAATATATTCCATTGAATTCGGATCATTCCAAATATATAAACAAAATATTGTTCTTTATATTGATATAAATATGATATTAATATTTTATATTCTCTGCGCGTAGAGACCCGCGTGAGGCGACCATTGCACCTGTTTACTGCAAACTGTGTCTAACGGAGGTAAATGGTATCATCAATCTTCGTGCACATTTGTGCTCGGAACAACATACAGCGAGACAACGAATGATAGATACGACTGCTGAATTTGGAGAGAATTTGCATAAACTTATGGAAACACTCAGGCTATAATATAATGAATAAGTCAAAAATTTGCATTTAATTATCTTTTTTTATTTTGTGACTTTAGTTTTTATGTGAACAATTTTTTGATTGCGATATCGTACATTTTTACTTATGTGAACAGTACCAAAGCTAAGTTTATTTTGTGATATAAGTACAATGTTATTTGTTTTATGTGTAAAAGCTCGTTGTAAATATATCAAGGAGCAATAATTGCTTTTTCTTACAGTATTTTTTACAAGTAAAAATTTTATTGTGATATTGTTTTTTTTTTTTTTTTTTTTTTTTTTTTTTTTTTTTTTTTTTTTTTT